AAACTGTAAGTCTGGGAATTAGCAAACCTTGGAAGTGTCTGTCAACAAGAAACAAGAGAGCAAGCTGTGGTGTCTTCTTACTGAGAATTACTAAATGGAAAAACATTCTTCATTCCGTTTAATCCTAAAAAGGAGCACACTCTGAAAAAGGTTAAGAACCCCTGCCCTATAGCTGTCATTAGAAGCATAAACAAAACATGCAGAAAATGGTTGTGGAACATATTTAAAGCATATTCCACTGATTTCTCAAAATTTCTGAGATTGTAAACAAACTCATTGAGAGTAGTTTGATGTAAAATTGTTTATTTAAGAGAAATGTACAAATTTACAAAATAAATGTAACTTTCTTTACAGTGGTGGTGATACAAACCAGGGTTTCTGACATCTACAATACAACAATAGCCATTTTGTTACTATCTGAAACCTCTAGTGAACCTACATGAGTTTTTCTATGTAATGTTGATAATGGCAAAATAGTGGTTGATCTTAAAAATAAATAAATAAAGTTTCTTTGGGAATTTTGTTGCCTTGCAATGCCCAGCATTTACCTTGAAAAAATATGCTTTATACCAAAAAGCATCTTAAAACAATAAAAAACAGCATCTCAGGTAAAAAGCAGCATATTCAAATTCATTTCATGGAATAACTTTCTTTGAGGGAGGTTTTAGAGGTGGACATTGGTTCCTGTCACCCCCACTGCAATTCAAGTTTCAGCAGAACAGCGCATTTCACATCAAACCATTCTGAATCACTTTGTCTTAACTGGATTGATTTAATTAAGCAGAAATTTTGAAAAATCTGTGAAACTTCCTTTTAAGTATGGGTGGAGGTTAAGATAAAAAAAACACATTTTACATTACACATTTTGTAATACTTTCTGCTATCAATGTTGGTCATTAGTTGTGCTCATTAATACCAACAGTAATCTGAATTTGATGTATTTTATAGGTCACATCTCCTACCCCTAGTGTTTAGGCCTTTAATCAATCAAACATACTCATTATAACTCTACTATACTAATGACCAATGTGCCTGGCACTGAGGATTGTATAATAAGCTTGCCAAGTAACTTCATTATATTGGTTTATTTGCTCCAGCCTTGCCGTTTTACGGGCTGCTGCAATGAGTACTCTTACATGTAGACACACTGTCTTCAATCACCCCTCATCAATGGCACACAGTAATTCAGAGTCTGCGATTATGAGCTATTAATAATGTGCAAGTAAAGAGTGATAAAGAAAATGTAATATCTTTTTAAAAGATTCATTGTTTATCTTTTTCAGTGAAGGATTTTGGAATCTCTGAAAAGATATATATGTTTTGTTATTGTTAAGTTTGGTCAATAAGTTGGTCAAACTTTTTAGCGTTTTTTTAACCGATTATGAACTAATGAACTATCTAAATAATTGTTAGAGTAGTCCATATATATTTATTAGTATTTACTACTATATACTAATATAATCAGTAATAACAGCCCTGTAGTCAAAATAACAGAGTGCTGTCTGCCCTGGTCTCTTTCAGTCAGTTTGTCCCCTCAGAGAAGATCACACGTCTCAAATGCACTCCCATCTTGTGACTGTCAAAGGCAGCACAAAAATATCTAATAAAAGAAAAACATTATGAGGGTTTAGAAGCCAAAAGTCGGGATATTTCAGTCAAGATTCAGTTTAGAAGCAAAAAGACACAAAGAAATCCCAACACACACCAGTTCATGGTTGACAGTTTACCATCAGAAATATGTGAAACCCAGATATTCAGAGGTTGGGAGATGTGTTTTTATTTTCACAGTCATCTCTTCAGTCAGCAAACAGAAAACTGTGTTCTTGCCACTGTGGCTTTATTTCACCTCTGGAATAAATGAATCCCCACCCAGCTTTCTTGAGGCTGCATTGTGTGCTGGTGTACTGTTTCAGCAAAGCTCAGCTACACACCACTCCTTGTAGTATGATATTGTGTGGAAAATCAGGGCAACTGTAGTACAGACACATAACGTCAATCAAATTAATTATGAACACCATACAAAGAGAACCAAATACAAACAGAGAGCATCCTATTCAGTGGCAACTCCCACACAAGGCTGTGCATTTCATGGTCATGTTGGCATCCACCATGCATGAATTACTGAGTGTCAGAAACATACATATGGCAAAGCTGTTCTACCATATGTAAAAACCAGAGACTGTGCTGTCACAGATACTGCTGGTACTGAAACCACATGAATGCAGAGTTGTGATTAGCAGCTTCTGGCGCTTTGCTGACAGCTCTTATGACTAGATGTATTAACACAAGCACAGAAAGTGTTGGCATGATAGTCATAATTCCAGAAATGGGACACTCTTTTTCTCTCTCAGACACAAACATATGCTCTTTGACACATGAAAAACAAAGAAGCCTATCAAAACAAAACCTTTTCATGCTGCCATCCTTCCCCTGTATCGGACAGAAGATGAATAGCACGCGTATTGCTGTGTGACCCTCTGAAAGCACAGAACTCTAAATCCAAATTTCTTTGTGTTTGGGGCTGTGGGTATTTGACATTGCTCTGACACAGATTTAAGTAGTGTGAAGAATGTTGCATTCAGCATGGCTAAGAGGAAAAAAATAACCTTGTTTTAAGTGTTATGGCCGTATTTCTTTTAAAAAATAATTCACTTTGACTTTGTTGAGTGTATCATCTAGCTTTGTGATTGAGTTTGAATGTGTGAATGTCCATGCTCCAAAACATCCCAAAGGTGGTGGATGGGAATGAGGGCAGGGATATGTGTAGGACAGTCAAGTACTTCCACTGCAAACTTAGCAAACTCTTTCTTTATGGACTCCACTTGGATGGGGCATTGTCATGCTGAAACAGAAAAATACCTTCCCAATCTGTTGCCACAAAGTCAAAAGCACACAATTTATTATATTCTGTGACATGATTTCCCTTCACTTGAACTAAGGGGTCAGCCCACACCATTAAAAACATCCTCAGACCATTATTCCTCCTCCACCAAACTTCAAAACCGACACTATGCATTTCCCCTACTCCAGAGCTTAATAATGGTGTATTTTACATAATTCCACCTGATGCCTGGCAGCATGCATGGTGATATTAGATTTACGTGCAGGTGCTCAGCCATGGAAATACAATTCATGAATTTCCATGACAGCGCCTGCAGAAGAAGTTTGGAACTCGGTAGCAAGTGTTTCAACACATGTTTTTTACACACTGTGCACTTTGGCCCTCTGCAGTACTGTTCTGTGGACATAAGTAGCATACTGCTTTACAACTTAACTGTTGTTAATCCTAGACATTCCCACTTCACAAAAACAGCACTTACAGTTAACTGGTGCAGCTGTTGCAGGACAGAAATTTGATAAACTGACTTATTTTCAGGACCATGTTTAAAGTTACTGAGCTCTTCAGAACATATCATTTTACTTCCAATGTATGACTATGGAGATGGTTGTATGCTCGATTTTATGCACTTGTTAGCAGCATTGGATATAAAAAGGCAAACCTACAAGGCTCCACAAACTTTTGGCCACACAGATTTCCATAATAAACCAGCATGTCCGTGTATTAGAGAGCCTGAGAGTTTTGCATTGTTAGGAAAATCGTTTTTTAAATATTACTATTTATTTATTTTAGATCTTTAAAAAAAATATATGTTTCTAATGCTAATGTCTCATACCTGCCATTTTGTTCTCAACACTAATTCCACAACACGACCACAGCCTATAAAAAAAAAACTGTCCTGAATCTCACAATTTGTCATTCAATTTGTCTTAATTCGAGTGTAAAAGCATTTTTGTCTTACCAAGCCTTTACAAAGCGTCTGTAAAAACACGCGCTTGACGTCTTGAGTTTGTCGGCACAACAACCTCTGCTGACCCTAATTCCCCTTATTACATCAGTGTCCGTTCGCTGCTAACGTTACACCTACAGCTTTACATCACAACTTTAATGAAGGTCACCATGACAACAAAGCTTTCGATGGCATATTGCCAGACGTGTCTCTCCCAGGGTGCTGGAATATTGCTATGGCAACCACTTCCGTCAGGTGATTACTATTAAAAGTGGCCGAAGGGGTTACAATCGAGTAGGCCATTACACCGTCACACGGTAATGACGGGGCATACAGGGCTCTCAATCGTGGGAGGGGCATATGATGTGTAACCTCTCCATGGTTGGAGAAAGCCCAAGACATGAATCCTTATCGTTCGGATATGAATGGTTTTAATGTAAAGGTAACTAGGTCGAATTGGCTGGGAAAAGGGGTGAATTTGTGCTACTGACTTCTCGAACCATTTCCTTTGCTCTTGAACACTGGCAATGCCACGCCTCACACACACATCACTACCTGTTGTGCGCTCCAGCTCGGCCATGCCAAGAACCGTTCAGCTAGCGTTTGTAGGCGCGCCATCATTTTTTCATCCCACTGTAGTTGGGGATGAGGAGGCAGCCTAAGTGTTTTCCCATTCATGCAAATCCTTTCACACATTTAGTATTACACGCGCCAGTTTATAAAGGCTTCTGTGCTTTGAAAAAAAGAGACAACAACAACCGTCAAGATGTAGGTTAAGCGCGCTCTTCATCGACCACACAAAGCATGTGGGACACACCCTCTCCGCTCAGACGCAAACAAACCAGCGGATTTACAAGATTACCTGTGGCATCCTACTGCGAGGAAAAGCTTACAACGACATGGCATTCAGGCAGAACTCCTGTTCACATTACCCTTACTGTAATCTTACCTTGCTTGTTTATTCCTTACTTGAGGAACCCTAATCAGTGCCACAGTTCTCGAGAGATACGCTTTTCCCGGACACCACGATACGCGCTGTGTAATACGAAATTAAGAATTAAGCACAGTACATGCGGTATACCTGCTTTACTTTGCATGTGGGCTAATTCCACTTAAACACAAATTACGTCAATGGCATGTCACGCTGTAAAATATACACGCCTACACGAGAGTAAAAGGCATCAGAATAAACTCTTTATTACCTATCCTTACCTTCGTTCCCGTTTAGTTGTGAAAGAAGTGAGAGAGGATCAACAAAACTGTTTCCCTTGCAAAATATTCCTCTAAATCTTGAGTAGTGCACTGTCGTCCAAGATTTAGTGGGTTAGTTTTTGGATAATATGAAAATATATTTCAAAACAAAAACAGTCGATGACCAGAGAGAATAGTTCCCCAGGCGTGTCTCACAGTGTTAATATTGAATATCAGCCAAAGCAGCGTTTCTCCACTCTCTACCAATGACACTGCTGGCTTTTAGTAATATATCCCCCTGTAGCCCCCACCATCTCTCTCTCTCTCTCTCTCTCTCTCTCTCTCTCTCTCTCAGCTGTAACAGACTGAACATGCCCAACAGTAGGGTCAGTATGAAAGGAGGCAGAGGTTTGTGTGACTGTACAACATCCGTAGATTTCCTAGTCTTCTCAGTAATGCAGGTTTCAAGATCAAAAAATATAACACATGCATGCATATGTGTTGTCTGCTTTATTTAAGAAGATTTGTGTGTTGGACTGGAAGTATAATCTTCTGTCATCAAGTGTAAAGACCACATTCCTGCATGTCTTAAGAGCACTAGTGGCTCAAACTTGTTTATCATACTCACATACCCTAAGGTGTAATTAATGGAAAGTCAATATTTTGTTCAATGTTTCAGATTGGTTATGGTTATTTCCTTTTTACAAATTTCTACAGAAAGTCTATTTTTTACTTCCAGTGAGATTGTAAAGAATCACTTCAGATGCAACAAGCACTGACTCGATTTATACTGGTAGAAAAATAAAACTAACATATAATACTCCCAAAGCCAAGCGTCAATGCACACCAGTAATGTACAACAAGACAAAGGCTGAAAGACTCACAGAATGTGCTTTGTACCAGTGTGAATTCATCAAATCAAGTATATGTTCATGGACAGCTTGGTGACTCACTAAGCATGGCAGAGTTACAAATACAGCCCTGTGGACTAATAGCTAGTGTTTGTGCCCTCTAGCTAGAAGGTACAGCTGTATTAAAGTTTGCACCCATTTCCCAATGGATGTCATAGCTGCAATGGAGAATCACCATCCCATTTCAAAGTGTGCTATTGTTATGATCTGTTTCTGTCCTCTGTGGTCCTCATCTACCAGTACTCTTGTTTGGCCACTGTAGATTACTGTCGAAACATGTGAGGATGTCCCATGGTCCTTTGGGAGAAGTGAATGTAGGCCACACAGGAGAGTGACATTAAGGTCTCTCTTTCTGTAAATGACAAAGCAGAAGTACTTAGCACTGAGTTGCCAGTTTATTACGTAATTTGTACTTACTCTCATTAGCTATTTTATCAGGTACAACTACCATTAACACACAGTTTGCAGGTATTCAGTTACTGCCTGTAGCCCATCTGTTGCTGCACAATTTGTCATCCACACTCTACTCCATCCATCAATAGACAGGGACAGTCACAGGACCTCCACTGACCAGATACTATTCAGGTGGCAGCCTATTCTCAGGATAGCGGCGACAGCAACAAAGCATGTTAGTTGATATTGTACTGGTAGAAATGTATCAGGAACAGCAATGGTGTTGGAGTTTTTAAAAGTCCTGAGAGGTACTGCTGGGCTGAGCATATTCTGCCAACCAAAAATATGAAGCCAACCGTGATCCTATGGTCAAAAACAGAAGGGCTAGAGGATGACTAATACAATTTGCCCATCAACAGATGAGCTATAGTTTCTAACTGCACACTTACAAAGTGTATCAGCAGGGAAGGTGGGTTTCATAAGAGTCACAGTACTAAATAAATGAATGAATGAATGAATGAACACTTCTTCACCTGTCAATTGTACTAGCGCAACACACAGTAATGTGTCCCTACTACGATGGTGTCACTGTGTTGTGAATGATCCTCCACCCAAATAATGTCAGCAACAGATGGGCTACAGTGTAATTATACAACTGCAAAGTGCACCTAGGTGATTGGTGTACCTGATAAAATGGCCAGTGAGTGTAAGTATAAAGTAGGCATACTTAAAAGCTGTGATTTCTGTGTTTAGATGTCACCTGCTGCAAATTTACAATATAATAACTACAGGTAGCATTATTTATGAGCTCTGGAAGCCACTAATCTTTATGGGCATCTTCTCACCTGCATCATACTTTGAATCCAGGGCAAGAGGCTGGTTACTTTGCTGTAGACGCCTGGCCTTTGTCTCCGTCCACAACCTGCCCCCCAGCTTGTCACGCCTGCTAGGTACCACCGCTGGTCACTGTCCTGACACACCAGAGGACCCCCACTGTCCCCCTGAACACCAAAATAAATATATTGTATAACTTAATTTCAGGACTGCGCTGTGGCTTTTGTCATTATGGCTAAAAAGGACGGAATCTTTGCATCAGTTCATTTTACAAAATACATTATAACTCAATATAGCAATTGCTATTACCCTTATTTACAAATGAACTAATTTATAACACCGTGCTTATAAAAGGAAACATGGAGTAATATGAAGTGCGAACACATATGTCTGTACCATATGTTCTCTCTGCGTGCATCACCATACCAGCCCAGGCAACAAAAGAATCAGTGTAATGGGAAATGGCAAGACTTCATAGAAGCTTTCAAAACAACTGGAGCAGCTGGACTGGACTGAATTTGCTTCAAGGCATCTGTTAGCCCAATCTGACGGGCATGCTAAATGACCAGTAGGAAGAAACCCACCTGACAGGAGTCCCGTCCTCCCTGCATGTCACCAGCACACATCATGTTCATAGAGATTCGTCCCCGGTAGACATCACTACTATTACAAACCCGTACATCGATGATGCTCACTGCCACCCCCATGAGATCCACAGAGCCAATGTCTGTGAAAATGGAACACATACACATGATGAGCAGACAAGTAGGTCGCCCAAACTGGCACAGACAGGGCCAATGTGGTATGTGAATAGCGGCATAGGAAAGCATTTCATATGCTGAGGATAGAGCCTTCAAATCTGAAAATCAGAGATCATGGTCAATTTAGCTTGAGTTCAGTTTAAGATGCATTGGTGGATGTGTATAAGCTCTTAAAGTGCTGTGAAATTGTATGACATTGATGACTAACTATTAACTCCATGGTAACACTTTCTTTTACAGTTCGTTAAGTTCTGAATACTAACCATGTAAGTGTGAGGTACAAACACCAAAGTACGTAGGTAGCTACTTTGGGTAACATGATGGTACGTTCTAAGGCTGTCTAACTAATTTTCACTTAAATGCCCAACAGGTTCTAGTAAGTAAGTATCTTGTGCTTCACAGTACTGTGCAATTATTTTGGGTAAAATGTACTGGGTAGTTATATTATGGGGTTTTACGGGGTCCTTAACTATTTGCTGCAGAAACCTCTTGGTATTTTATGCCTTGATTTTACACCACATAACTTAGTACTTGTTTTTTCCAATTTACTTTCCTGCTTGAATGTGCCATTGAAATTTTTGTGCATGTTTGTACTTACAGCCTTGCTACTTGAAATATTTATGATGTATTTTACCATGCCATTTATCAGTGTAATAGCTAGAGCCTGTTAGTCATTTCAGTGTAACTGAGTTGGATTATCTTGGTATCATAATTTTACCCAAAATAATTATGTAGTACATTAGAGTCTGTGCCTCACACTTACCTGGTCACTACTTAGAATTTAGGACTGTAAAAGAAAGCATTACCTAGTTTTGTTCTATTGCTGTACTATAATCTTCTCCTGCATAATAATTTTCTCTCTTTTGTATCATTCTCTACCTGCTCCTTCTACTATTGCCCCAAAACCAGATGTCCAGCATTCTGTTCCTTGAGGAAAGTTCTTTTCGAAGGCAGGAAGACAGGCTGGATTCACAGTGCCTGGAGGTCAAAGTTGGAAATTAATGCATGGGCAGACACAAACACACACACAGACACACACACACACACACACACACACACACACACACACACACAAATGCATCTTTCTGACAGAAGATGAAGAACAGACTTTAAGAATGTCAACCCTGGGTCAAAGACTTACTCGACAGTTCAGCAGGACTAGTGAGTTTCAGGAGAGCAATGTCAAAATCATCAGTGTTCTTGTTATACTGATCATGCAGTAAGATTTTCTTCACAAAGTAGGGGTTCTGAAGTTTGTTCTGAGAAACCATGCCGGTATACACATGCCAGTGTCTGACATCCATGTATGAAGGATTCGAACTAGAAGATAAAACGAAAGGCCAACTGGTCACTGCGTGTCTTTGTTTTATACATTGATTCATTATTACTGTAGTATGAATAATCATGTCAGTGCTATTACTGTTGTACTGACTCTGGGAAGCAGTGAGCTGCTGTCACCACAAAGTCTTGAGAGATCAAGGTTCCACCACAGATGTGCATCCCGTTGAAGTGCAGGCTAACCTGCCATGGCCAGCGGCCAAGCTGTGCAACTCTGCCCCCTATGATTCTGGAGGTTAACTGCTGCTTTCCACAGTCTATAATAAAGAAGGAAAGGTCATAAGATCATTCCTATAATATGTCCTGGTTAGTTCAGTCTGCAGCACAGAGCCTGTCATATTATCAGACAAAACATTATACAAGACTATACAATAATTCAAAAGATAGTAATATGTTACACAATTATTAATTCATTTTGATTAATTAATGAAAGATGAATCCTTTCTTAAAGAACCACTTCATCCAAAAAAATCATAATCAGCTAACAATGACTACAAGACACTAAGCACCTCATTAGATAATGTCATCCATTTACATAAAGCTAATGGCACCTTATTAGCTCTAATACATTGTTAGAAGCAATGACATTTTTGGTTGAGGTATTTCTAAAAGGAGGGCTAATTGAAATTTGAATAGAATTTGAATCAATTGGTGATGATTAAAGACTGTTTTAACCAATATTATTTATTATTAGATATAGTAATATGTACCGATGCATTCAAGGGTGACTGTTCTCTCATTTGGGCAGGAAGGGCTGAAGAATAGAAAAATAACAATAGACAGATGTATAATTACATCATGAAAGTGACTGAACTGGATAATTAGTTAAGGGTGGCTGCATCTCCACTTAAAAACACAACATCAGCAGTTGTGTTAGGCAGTCTACATGAGTAACAGGAGTAAAAAAGGCTTCTTTTATGTCCTTACCTGACAGTGACAAGACCTTGAATAAGTTGAGATATTCTGGCTTGCAAAGTCAGCACAGTAGACATCTGGTTCTCCACTGAATTTGAGGCAAATGACCTAATGGATCAAAATAAATATACAGATATGTACATCTACTGACCCTACAGACCTTATTCATGTTAGCCCAATGTATGCATGATAGTTTGTCCCGTTACTTTCAAAAACAGGGAAGACGTTAGTTTGTGTGGAGTTAGTACAGGTTCACTGTACATGTAAACACAGTCACAGAACAGGTTTTACCGCCTGAAGCCCAGCTGAGCACAAGTCTGGTCAGCATAGCTCTGATCCCACCCTTGAGAGCACACTGGGAGGAACCGGCCATCCTGAGCAGTCCTGACCTGCAGAATTCCACCCGGAGCAAGTCTCACTAGCACACAGTAAAAAGGAGGAGAAAGAATGCTTTGAGTCAAATGAAGCCTTTTAAGTGCATAGCAGTTTATTCTATTAGTCTACTATAGTGTGATATCTCAGCTGTGACTCTTCATTGTGCTGACAGTTGATTCTTGCCTAAATTTGAAGGGGAGAACAGGTTTACAGCTTTCTCTCTTTTTAGGGATTCAGGGTGTGTGCACGCACTCACCACAGTTGGTCTCATCGCTGCCCTGCTGGCAGTCTCGGACAGCATCACATTCGACTGTGAAGTTGGAGCAGGAATCAGCTTCTGTTATACTCCACTGCTTTGCACCTTCAATATTCTCCTCCCTGCCGCCAGCATTCTGGATTATAGTTGCTGTTGCCAACCTGGTGCCATAATGTACTGCCACAGAGAGACAGAGACAGAGAGTTCACATAGCTTAGTAGCCTCCCATATCCACCTGGATGCTCCAGAAGAGGGTCACCTACCTCCTAGCCAGATGGCCACTGTGAGTAGGGCCAGCAAGAAAACAGTTGCCCCTGATCCACAGTAACACTGGACACTGTGAGCACAGCACTCCTTCTTCTTACTGTTAGGCGGTGCTAGGGTTGCAAGAAATGAACATGAGAGAGCCAGCTCAAATGTCATGCCTTTGTCAGGTAGTGTGACACTGAGTTCATGAGGTATTTAATACTGAGTCAATGACAACTGTATTATACAGCTCTGCAGAGCCTGTTCTATTACATACGCATATACGCCCTTTGGCTATGTTAACATAAACATCCACATTAAAGGTCCACCTTGCTGGCATACATTTAGACAGTATACAGTAGAAATGGCATACTGGTATTAACAGGTATTGGTACCGGGCCAATATCAGTAGAAAATGCTGGATAGGATACAGAAGGGGAAAAGTAGTGTATATCTTCCTGTGGGGTAACAGAGCATTTGTGTAGTTTGGGCCTACTTTTAGATACTCAGATTAAGTGCTTGGGACTGGAAATAGAAGGGGACAAAACAAATCCAATCCAGACCAGCAACAAATTTAGCCTGAAATCCTTCATAGTCACATTGTGTTCTATCATGTTGTTAGTTGTGTATGTCTTCCTATGGGGTAGTAGAGCATATGTGTAGTTTGAGCCTACTTTTAGATACTCATCTTAAATGAAGTGCTTCAATTTAAAAAGTTAAAGCTAAGTTTTAACAGAAAAAATATTGGATCGGTTCTCAAAGTTTCTCAAAGGGGCAGGAGCCTATCCCAGCAGTCACTGGGAGGAAGGCAGTAAACACCCTGGACAGGTTGCCAGTCCATTGCAGTATGTAGTATAGGAAAAATAAAAAATGTGCAGATGGGGTTACCAGACCTGGCACTGGGAACCCCTGATATAGCCCTATAGTTCTCTATACCACAGGGGTGTCCAATCATATCTGCAAAGGGCCATTGTAGCTTTTGTAGGTTTTCACTGCAATCAAGCAGAACACCTGATTCTACTTGTTTAATTAGTTGCTCTCAGTCTTCAAACAGGTGTCCCCCTCCTCTGTGGGAATGAAAACCTGAGTGAGTGTGAGGTAAGGTAGGTGGTTCTAGTAAAGCTGATGAATTTTTCATATAAAACATGACAAAGCACATTTATTGCAACATTGTGTGCCCTACACTAAAATGGTTGTTACTCCAATTTTACCATTCAGTGCAGACTGAGAACACATTATAGCCCCAATAAATATGAGTGAATAGAGTTGAATGGAAAAAATGTTAATAAAATATATTTGTATTTTAATGAGTAATTAATGAGAAACTTTTGGACTGTATTGTGTGATCAACTTTGAGGAGATCAATGAGTCTGTGGAAATAGAAAGTCTCTAGTACTTACGGAAACTGTGCTGGGTGATGACTGGGGCTGCCACTGGCAGGGAATTCTGAGGGATGTAGTTTGGGACAGTGGTCTGAACAACTCCATAACTCACTCCATAGACTACCTCTTCATATAAATTGAGAGGAGGCTGTGTGTGCACTGCCACTGAGTAGTATGGAGGGTCATTCTATAAAAGAAGAGATCAAGCAGATGGCTCATATGGCCATATATCGATCTAAACTCAAAAGGAAACATTACCCTTCTGGTCAACACTGGACAGAAGAATTATGATAAACAATGAGAATTATTGCTTAAAGAAATGGGACTAAACAGAGGCACTCGGATCAGATAGAGGACAAATCTGAGACTGTAGGATGAAAACTGTCAAAAACAGTAAAGAGTAAACTGGCAGTTATGTTATGCAGTCTTATGCAAGTGTTTGGACACACCTGGTCAAAGTGCATGTTTTGTTGACTTTCTAAATGTAAACATAGTAGCACTTCACCAAAGGCAAAAAATTTAAGTAGTTTTATATATATGTATGTATAGACCTAGACCTGTCCAGGGTGTATCCTGGAGAAGCGGCTTAGAAGATATATATATATATATATATATATATATATATATATATATATATATATATATATACACACACACCACACATGGATGAATGAAATATATTATCACTTATATCAAAACCTTGAAATGATAAATGAATGCTGTCTGAATCACACTTTTGTTTTCCCCTTTAAACTGGCAGACAACTACTTAGACTTTATTTGGCTTCTCCTTGACCTGTTTCATATTTTTTCTACAGTCTGCTGCTGATCTATGACCCATCTGTACAGCTGGATCATAAGGACAGAGTGCTTCAATCCACCCCCTTCCCCAAACTCAACCCCCCCCAGGTGTAACTCAAACTCTCACTGGGCTATTGTCAGTGGTCTAGTTTTATAGATAGTTTCCCTACACCATTGTGAATGTGAAAGGATCCCACTATTTAAAAAATCTGATCTTGCAGTCTGAGCGCCAAGACTACTTCAGCATCACTGCTAGGCTATTAGCCTAATGTTCATGGGTCAAAAAGAAAAGGATTTTTCTATAGTGAGTGCATGACAAAAAATAAGAAATAGAAATTCACTTTATCTGCCTTGTACATTTCTTTTCAGGCATGTGGGAGTAGAATGACTATCTCACAGTTCAAGGAGGAAGTTTTTATTTACTGGAACATTTAGTTACTGGAGCATGCCTATTAGCACCTGCAGTCTTAAGTGTATTGCATATGTAATTCTAATGCTTCTGTTATATGAGATCTAATGCTTCTGTTATATGAGATGACCTCTTTGTTCAGTTTGCATGAAACTGCATCCCTCCTCCCCCATTCTACTCCATGCATTGCCAACATTTACATTTAATGCTTCTTCTGTGATAGTGAAAGCAAACAGTATATTGCTTTCTCATTCAGCTTTCATTACCCCATTAATTTAAAGTTTAAAATTCATGAGAGATACATCTAACATTTAAGTGAAATGTTTTTTGTGGCATACGTAAAACAAAAAGAAAAAAGTATGAGCTGAAAATTTTTTTTTGAGCAAGTGATGGTTAATATGCTTGGCGGGTGATACTAAAATCATTAAGCATTTGACTCTAAAAATGGCACAAATGCTTTGGCTCATATGTGTATGTGTTAAAAATGGTGTTTCTAATTGTAAAAGGCTCACATTTCACAGTTTTCTAAAGGCACCAAGCTAAACAATCAAGAATGCTCTATGTTAAGCTTGTGGGGAAACTGGTTTGCACAAATTCTCAAGAAACATTCAAAAACTACAAAGAAAAGCTGAAGACACTATGATCTACAGTCATTAGTGTGTAGTAATCTTACACCCATATAGAGTGTATATAAAACATCTGAAGAACTGACAATACAGATTAGGAGAACACTCATGAGAAAGTTTTCACCTTTTCACATAGAATGTATTTGACATGACTGACTATTATATATTATAATAAATATTATTTCAAGCAATATTTGGACTGTTTGCAACATTCAAAATGTGAAAAGATCTGCTGACATTTTCAAACAGAGTAACTGTTTAAAAAAAAGGATTCAATTATTTTATCATGACAATGACAATATTCATATCCAGGACAAAAAAGGTATTTGAAGATATTATACGATCATCAAAATTATTCTCTACTGAAAATTCCATATCAACACTCCAGTCTTTCAGAAAGCAAGTAGGTAAGAAGGCACAATATAAATTTTTCTTTTATGGTACCAATACAAATATTGATTCCTTGAGTATCGGTTGTTACTAATACTAATTAGATGAACATCTAAAAGTAGCTATACAGTCATTTAGTTTTATAAATTTTATATATGCTTCTATAGAGGCAAGTGGAAAAAAAACAAAGATATAAAACTGATATAAAAAGGAAGGCTTGCCTGCATTACTTTGTACTGGCTGCATTTTAGGGATGTGTTATATGTTGTGGGGACACAAATCAGTAGACAGAGTTTCTAAATGGGTAGACTTTTGTTGATTTGCTGTAAACATGTCTCTCCTGTTGATTTTCCCCTGAATGTGTGGCTCCACTAGATAGATCTACTGTACATGTAGCACCCCGTATTTTCCTTAACTTTTTTTTTTTATTATTTTTTGTTCCTCATGGATACTTTTTCATTTCTGATATTCAGTCTTGCATTTTACTCCATTATCAACTCAATTTTGATACCTGGTAGCGGATTGTTGCCATGTGTAAGGCTAACTGTTGTTTAAAAACTGCATTGTTGAAGCACCCTGTACTAGCTAGCTATTGCTGACTGAGACATTGAAGTAATTGTATTGATTTAACTGACTTGATTTAGATTGAACGTTTAACCTACTCTGAAAACAAAATTGAATAAAGAAATAACACACACGTACATACACAAACATCCATACATACACATGCTGCATACTGTACATGTATAAACACACTATCTTAAACACTATACATCTATAAAAAAGCCATAAAAAGTGCAAACTCATACTGGGTCATGCTGTGCCATCAGAGAAATGGAGAGGAGCTGAGTAGGGTGGTGTAGTAGAATCCGGTCTCCACTGTCCTGGTGGCACAATAAACCTTTCCTTTCTGTCTAAGACTGACCTCTATCCTAAGAGACGAGTGGGCCTACCCTTTCTCTATTAATCCCTCCCTCGTTTGCACTCTCGTTCATCTCTCCACACTGGAAGGATGATTACCATGTATCAATGTCACACCTACCAGACTAGTTCCTCGGTAACCACTCCAGGCTGGTACTTCAGCTCCACTAAAGCTCAAATGACAGCAAGTGTAAAAAGCGTGAAATGCTCTCTCACCAAACACCCAACAAACAGAAAGGTAAAACTCCAGAGAAGTGCTTTTTTAGTGCTATATGAGACTATATTCTATAGATTTGCCTTTTATGAGTTTTAGTTAAGCACTAATTGCAAAGTCTCCAAAATAAGTGGACAGCTGGAAGTAATTTTGCCTGTGTATTTGTTAAGATTTTGTCAAAAAACACTGTAGTATTCACTGCTATTAAAGGAGACACAGCTTTCACACAAGTAGTGGTGCTTTATTAACCAGCTGTTGTTGGCTATAGCCACGCCGTTCATAAGCAAAATTTTCTCTAACAGTTCGTTCTTGCTACATCTTACTCTGTCCAGAGTCTGTATCATGATGCATCAGTTCAGTTCAATGGCTTCCGTTACATCAAATAAGGATCTTTTCTTTGTTGACTCATTGAAAACACTGTTTTCTCAAGAAGTAAAGGTGGGAAATGTATTATCACCTATGATCACCACTGCTGCTATTCTGAGCCTCACCATGGACACAAGCTATTTACCTTTTACCTATCTACCTTTTTGGCTATAACAGAATTCTGACCACCTTACAAGCAAATACTTACCATAAATCTATTCCCCATTTCAGTTGTGGGTGTGCATAAAAGACTGATTATCAACACTGTGGTCACTAGCAAACACTAATGAATGCACTACACAAGCTGAGAGCCCTTTCAGTCGAGTCCATATAGCTATACTTTTCTATCATAATAGAAAAGATCCAGTTCTGATTAATTCTTTCATTTTACTGTCCTCACTGTTTTGGTCAAAGAAAATAAGTAAATATTTATCATAACCAACGAGCCTCACCTTGCAGATACTTTGTATAAGGATTCATCATTTATTATGGTAGTTGGGTTTTTGCCTTCTGAGAACTCAAGTAAAGAAGTAAAAAATGCTTCCACTTGGTATAGTACACACACACACACACACACACACACACACACACACACATACACACATAAAATTCTGGTATTTCTGTGATGTTTCAGGCTGTTTGTGGAACTAGTGTTACATGCTCTTACATGGCAGTTTATTAGGTACACCACTATCAATTCCGGTGACACTAAAGTCTTTAAAAATCTCAGCAGTGCCATTCTTCCAATGCCATTCTGTATGTTTATGTATCTACATTTATTTTTCCTTTTATCAGCTACAAGTACTATGTACTACTAGGTACCCTTTATAGGTTTACAGTTACTGGCTATAGACCATCTGTTGCTGCACAAATGATCAGCAACCTTCTACCTCATCCATTACTATCAGGATTTGTAGTAAAATGCTTTGAAAAAGTAGTGATGGCTGAATACTGAATACACTGTCCTGTAATTAGTAATGTATTCCATAGCAATACATAAAAAAGTAACATATTCAAAAAGGAAAAAATTGTGCTGTAAGTTTTATTTTTTATTTTATTTCACACTGTTCCACACTGTTACTGGTTGGAAGTTTTCTTCATGTAATTCCTCTGTTAATATGTTTCATGAAAAATTCAATTATTTGAATTAATACAAAAATTAATAAAATAAATTCTCAATGTTATTTTGGCTCTCTTCGCCTACTTCTGTTCACTGCTGCTCCCGTAATGCCACTGCCATTTCATGACCTAAGCCAACAATTTGCCATATTCCAACAATAAAATATTGTAATTGTAACTATAAAATGACTACGTGAATTTTAGTTAATGATATGTATAAAATAGTACAACGTAAAAAATAGTCTCAGTGGAAACTGAAAAATTTTATTGTTTTTTGAAAAAAAACATTTTGAAACATTTTGAATTTGATGCCAACAACACGTTCCAAAAAAGTTGGGACGGGGGCATGTTTACCACTGTGTTTCATCACCTCTTCTTTTAACAACACTCTGTAAGCGTTTGGGAACTTAGGAGAGCGACTGCTGTAGTTTTGAAAGTGAAATGTTTTCCCATTTTTGCTTAACATAGGATTTCAGCTGCTCAATAGTTCAGGGTCTCCTTTGTTGTATTTTTCATTTTATAATGTGCCAAATGTTTTCAGTGGTGACGGGTCTGGACAGACTCTTTTAATACAGAACCATGCTGTTGTAATACATGCAGAATGTGGTTTGACATTGTCTTGCTGAAATAAACAAGGCCTTCCCTGAAAAAGACATTGTCTAAGTGGCAGCATATGTTGCCAAAACGTGTATATTTCATTCAGCATTAATGGTGCCTTCACAGATGTGCCAGTCACCCATGCCAGGTGCACTAATGCACCCCTATACCATCATGAATACTGGCTTTTGAACTGTGTACTGTTAACAAGCTGAGTGGTCTTTAGCCCAGTGGACACAGTGTCCATGATTTCCCAAAAGAATTTCAAATTTTGATTTGTTGGACCACAGGACACTTTTCCACTTCACCTCAGTCCATTTTAAATGAGCTCAGGTCCAGAGAAGGTGGCAGTGTTCCTGTATCCTGTTTATATATGCCTTCTTCTTTGCGTTTTAATTTTAATTAGCATTTGTGGATGCAGCACTGAACTGTTTTCATAAACAGTGTTTTTCAGAAGTTTTTCTGATCCCATGCAGTGATTCCACTACAGAATTATGTCTGTTTTTAATGCAGTGCTGCCTGAGGGCACAAGGTCATAGCCAGCAAATACTGATTTTTTGGCTTTGCCTCTTGAAAACAGATTTCTCCAGATCTCTGAATTTCTCTGAATCTTGATATTAGGATATTATGTATCACAGATAATGAAAAGAAAAAGTTCTTTGCTATTTTATGTTGAGAAATGTTATTCTTGAATTGTTGCACTATTTGATTGTGTAGTCTTTCACAGGAGTGGTGAACCCCTCCTCATCTTTACTTCTGAAAAACTCAGCCTCTCTGGGATGCTAATTTTATACCCAATCTTGTTACTGACCTGTCGCCAATCAACCACCAGGTGTTTTTTTAGCATTACACAACTTTACCAGCCTTTTGTTGACCCCGTCTCAACTTTTTTGGGATGTGTTGCTGGCATCAAATTTAAAATGTGTATATATGTTTCAGCATTTGATATGTTGTCTTTTGTTCTATTTTCAATGAAATATAGCGTTTAAATGATTTGCACATCATTACATTTTGTTTTTATTTACACTTTGTCCCAACTTTTTTGGAAATGGGGTTGTATGTAACTTGCCACAGAATGCATGTATGAGTCTAGTACAATGCCAAAGCTAAGCTTATAACTTGGTAACTCTGAGATTGATAACTGATCATCACATTGATTTATCAGTTTACTCAGGCTTTAGCAGAGCTCAGTAACACTGAGATTAATAACTGATCACATTGATTTATCAGTTTAGTCAGGCTTTAGCAGAGCTTAGTAACACTGAGATTAATAACTGATCATGTTAATTTATCAGTATAGTCAGGCTTTAGAAGGAGGTACTTGTAAAAAGGTACTTTTTGAGTTGGTCTTTGGAATAAATCTTTACATACTGTGTGCGGATTTTAGTTAATAAAAAAGCATTAATGGTGTTTCTTTTAAAGATGGTATATATTTTTTTTTAAATTTAGTGATTAAGTAGTAAAAAACTATTTTGAAAACTCCCCTTATAAAATGGAACTTGGACTGAATACAGATACTTAATTTCTGTATTCTGAATACATATTCCAAATACTTGTATTCTGTTACATCTCAACCCTGATTACTACCGAACCACTACTGATCTGACATTATTTAGGTGGTCAACCATTCTCAGCATGTAAAGTAAAGGGAAAATGTGCTGGTACAAACACTCACTGGCCAAAAACTCTGTAGGTGTACAGTAGGGGTGGGAATCTCTAGGCACCTCGATGTGATTATAAATCTTGATGCATCTTTTTTTTTCTATACAGGATTTCTATTTTCTCACTGTGTGAGGACTTGGTACTTTTAAAGCAAAGTATTTGTAATGATCTATAATGAATTTACTTCCAATTTCCTTTATTAATAAAACAAATAGAAGTGATGTGGCAAGTGAACTGGAAGGCTCTCATTCACTGCTCTTGTTTGGAGCATATGAGACACTGGCTGCCACTCATCTGTGATAAACTGCGCTGTTACGATGACTTAAGATCCTGTAGCAATGGATGTCCACGCAGCACGTTACAGCTGTCCTACCTGTTTTCTTTAGTGATTTCATAACTTCAGTTTTGGTCTCGTTGTAGAGAGTGGGGGATCGCTGTGTCAGTAAAATATCTTCGAGAAGGGATGCTGTATCTCGACTCCAAACTGTGCAACATAGCGCAAAAGCCCTGGTTCTCAACGACTGAGAACTGGCGTGCAGACTGCAGGTCACATAGCAATGCGGTCTCGCCTGGCTAGTAGCTAACGAAAAAAGTCAAAGAGAGAGATTAAAGATGAACATCTGGGGACAAATAGACTTATTTGCATATTTAAGCACCGCAATTAGTTTCCTCGTATGTTAAATCTGCAATGAGAGACTGTTAAACACTAAAAAGTTGCGGAGATGAAGTCAGCTTCTCTTTCGACTTCTTCCAGTCCACCTTAAACGGTGCCGCATTTACATTTGGTGCCTCAGTCAGAATTTATGGTGGAACGGGAAAATTCGAACAAGAAGCTGGAGAATGAGAAGCGACTTCAGCCTTGTAAAACAATCGAACATTGAGAGACATTTTAAAGAAACTATTCAACTTCTGAGGAAACATTTCCTGGTGGAAAGCAGCTATAGCTAAAGCTTAAAGCAGAGCAAAGTAAATCTGCGTTTTCGTTTATATTTTTTAGCCTATACTACGACATTAGCATATGCTGAGACATATTGGACATAAAATGTTGTGGCTGCCTAGGTGGTTAGATTTTTGTTGAAAGGACAAAATGGCTCTTCTTAACATTTGGGTTGTCGACTCCTGACCTGACCTAGCTTTTAATGCAGAGGGTGCTGGTCAGATTTCTCGCTCATCCAGTTGTGTCTTTGTTATGTGCACATCACAGAGTGTCCAGGCGCTGCATTTCCCAACTTCCAAGTTCTGCCAT